GTTGGTTGGGGCATGTTTTACGCGTGTTACCAAATAGGTTGCCATGGCGAGTGATGTTTGCTGAGGCAGGTATCGGTTGGAAAAGGATCAAGGGTGGTCAAACGAAGACCTGGCATGAGGGTATGAAATCCCTAACCAGGAGACTAGGTCACATAGGCCCCGTTAGACTCCCTGGCTGAGGACCTCGGGATGATGGTTACCGATGGTTAGATATACTGAGTGATATGACTGGGTGTCGCAAACAGTAGCGCTGGTGCATCCACTCATTATTCCCTTAACACCATTCTATATGAATTCTGCATATTGCGCTTGAATTTGCTATCAACATTCCAATGTTCTTTCTGCTCTTTTATCCAAATGGGGCACCAAAAAACAGCAACCAAAACCGGCGCACAAAAGTGCATGGCAGTGGTTGTAGAAACTGAACTGAACTGAATTTATTGAGTATACAAACATACAGTCAACTTTCAGGAAGAGGGCTGCGGCCATACAATGGCTGCCTGGGGAAATACAGAAATAAGGAAGACGGGCGGCGGTGGAGCGGTTCGGACCCGGGACTTCCGGCTCACAATTTGGTGACCTAACCACTTGACCACCACCGCCCTCACAGTTCTGAAGAGCATTGGAGTCAGCAAATCTTGCGAATCCGATCTTTTGTCATCTGAGCTGCTGAAAGGATGTACTATGTAATTTTCTGAATCCTTTACCGATATGTCTGGTTTATGCATGCCCACTGGAGTTATTTCCCCGATGCTTGATGCTGGTTGAGGTTAGCCCCGTTTTCAAGGGTGATTTCAATAAAATCAACTTTATTGATTGCACTTCTATGTTACCAAAGTTTTTGAGAACGTGTTACTTGAGTGAATGTTGCCATTGCTAAGTCGGAATGCCCATTTTTAGGTTGCTCATAAATCTTAAGCGTTGCTCGGCATTCTCTCCCATGTTGAACAGCCTGTTGTGTCTGCCTTGGATAAGGGCTTCTGAACTGTAGGATTGGTCTTCTTAATTATATAAAAACTTTCGGCTTCGTGAATCAGGTACCCTACCACATCTCTGCCAGAACTTTTCTCTTGGTTCACATATGCTGAATATTATTCTGGAATAATTCACAAACCAAATGCACTGGACATTCGGCTCTTTCAATGAATTTTAGTTTCTGAGTTCATTTTGTCTCCTCTCTCTTTCTCCCTGTACATAAAGGATAGTCCTATTTGCCGTTGTATTCATTACATATATGCAGAAGATATTATTGGACACCTAAACACTGAAATTTCCTCTCTAGCTTCTCTCCAGGGCTGTTGTACAAACCTTTGTAATTGGTCCATATTCCGCTGCCTGCAGCTAAATGTTTTAAAATGTGTTGATGTCCCCTAAAATCTTGTATCTGTTTCTTTATGCCAATCGTTTTTCATAAGCTTTCGCCTCCGTGCTTGCAGTCGAACAATCTCTAAGGCTATATATAGGAACTGTTTGTGTTAATTTATCTCACAATCTATTTCTACACATGTCGAAAGTATCTGTGCCTCACTGGCGGTATCATTTTTACAGATTTTAAAGAGGAAATTTTTATAGTTCCTTCAGGTCTCTTGACTTCTCGTTCGTATCCCGTGGTGTTCGTAATAATCCTGTTGACTTCGTTTTTCGCAAGAGTTTTGATGCATGTGACCAGCGGAAATACATCAAAGTAGTCTCTAGCTCCCTTACTCGCTCACAATTCAAAATTATAGCAAAATTATTCCCTAATTGTTGCTCCTCTTCGCCACCCACTTACCCATTATTGCTAACCTACTGGCCCGCTTTATCATTGGTTTTCAATAGTTTGTTGATGTATTGCTTTCTCACTCCACTGTAGTTTGTGAATCCCGCTCAATATTAACATCTAAGGGTGCATCAAGCATTTTTTGACTGTATTTGGAAAATGAACCCTAATTCGGCATTTTTCAACCTGTGACACCATCTTGAAAGTTGATGGACATCACGGTGATTCATAGTGGTTTGCTCTAGCCCCTCGGCACTGACGATATTAGTGAGTTTTATTTATTCTACCACCGATGTTTTCGAAGCATTGCTGGTGCCTAGTGGGGAAAATTACGCTACGCCATCTCCGATAGCTTGACCTTGTGCGTCATGCCTGCCCATGGTCCACTTCTCCGTACCTTTCGTATGTACTGGACAAAACGGGTAAAGCGAGGCGGCGGTCGGACTATGACTTGGTTTTGGGGTTATAAAGAAGTTACTTTAGGCCTTTGACTTCGGTTGGTGCCTGCCTCCTAGGCCGGGGCCGAAGGGATTAAGATTGCGGTCTGTTAGGGACGTTGAAAGATATGGCTGGGAACAGAAATCAGCGAATGTTGTGAGACTCGTCTATAGAATTTTCTCACCCAGTAAAAAACATTACTTCTCGATGAAACACGCAACAAACATTTTTGTCCGTTTACAAACCATTTTGACCGGAATGCAGGCTTTACATCTACAAAAGTTATAGTTACAATTCAATACAATGCCATTTATCTTCCATTCTCTGCCTTATTTTTCCGGACTTTCAGTTAATCTAGTTTTTCAGTGTTGTTCCGTTGGCACTGTGCTTGTTCCGAAGACAGCGTGAAATGCTCTATATGACATGATTGCATAAAAGCAAAGGGGCCAAATGATAAAAACCTGTGCAATTAGCAACTCTGTTTTTTGCAAATAAATTTGTCGATAAGAGCCCACCAGAACAACGGTGCCCCTACTTTAAGTTGTCAAACATCGTGTACTTCTGTTGATGAAGTAAACCAGTAATCTCTTGTCACATCTGATAAAGTACTCATTGTGTGCTCATTTTCACTTCTTATACTCGGATCCCCCCGCAGGAGTATGATTTTGTCTTCACAGTGGATATTGCAGACCATCTTCCTCCGTTGAAGCTACCCTACAATCGTTCACAAGATCCGTGGTTTGCCGCCCAAGAATTTCTTCAGAGAAATGATTTACCAGCGGATTACTTGGATACCGTGGCCAACTTTATTATACGTAATGCTGGACCGCTGATCAGTCCACCCACCACAAGCCAATCTGAATATGTGGATCCATTTACCGGAAGTAGTCGGTACATTCCCGGGGGAGGTTCACAGACGACCGCTCCTCCCCAGGAGCCACTGGAAACGTACTTCCCCGCTGATTCTTTTATTCCGCTCAAGAACATCAGTCTAGCTCCTTTGTTAGGTAAGCAACTCTTACATAGCTCAGTAAGGCCCATTAGCAGTCTGCGTTTGTGAACGAATGCATATTCTGTTTATCGTTCCCAGATTATATGCGTGCGGATTCAACCAGTGCGGTTTGCCATGCTGCTTGTTTTTCACTCAGTCGTAATTCATTGCTTTGAAGCTCTCATTTTGGTCAGTTACAAAGGGTGAACACGAAACCACTTCAAACCAATAACACTCGTACTGCCTAGTTGAATTCCCTATTATGGAGGTTGTTGTCCTGTTTACTGGTTCAACGAACAAGTCAAAAGTAGAACACGAACTCACCTGATTTTCTTTCATTGGGAACAATTTACATATGTCTCTCCATCGTTCATGTAAATCTTTTTTTTCACCGTTGGATTTTAGTCGGAGTTCTGTTAAGCGGCTATTTCGCCAACTGATGCTCTTTTCACTTATCGGGATTCCTAGAGTCACATTTCCTAACCTCATCTTAAAAACCTCTTCTCCCTGAGGACCCGCAGAGCGTTCTTCGTGCTTGAAGAAAGCTCTCATTTAGTAGGTCTGTTAAAACCTCCGCTGACTCTGTCATACTCTGCCTTTCAATGCAAAGGGTGTTTCCTCTAAAGTTGGAGGGCCAAAATCTGATCGGTGGCATCAAAGCCGGGTTAATAATCATTTATCATTCAGCTCATCTCAGTGAACAGTAAATGCATGATTTCCAACCTATTGAGAATAAGCATGAATATTGACCCCAGCAATCCTTGGTTAAAACTATCAGCAGATAGATTGGGTTATAAAGTACAATGGGCATCATTCAATTGCAAATCCTTTGTGCACAGGTAAAAATACTCGACTGAATTCACTTCGAGTTCAGCCGAATTGTGGTTTCTGCACTTGATGCCGTTGCAATGCGAGTGCATCTTTGACCAGTCCAATTCCACAGTTGCCAGTCAACCTCATCTGTGTTGCATAGCAGATTGTCAATCACTAGCAAATCATGATGGTTTCATTATTAGGGAGCTAATTATACCTCGATGTGTTTGGTTCACACTACGGATTTAGTATGGAACTGGAAAATCCTTATGTAACTTGTTAGATTTTGTTCTTTGTTACTGAATAGCGAGCGTCTAGTTCTGTATCTTAGCTCTTCTTCTAACTTTTTCACACTCGTGTTGCGGGTTTGATCGTTTGTTTGGTTGATTACAAATATTGAATGAAATCTTTTTTTCTACTCTTTACAGGCAAACTAGAATTTTTCATCAAGGAGCTACCGGGTTCATCAAATGAACTACTCGAACGAGCAAGCCAGTTCTCTTTTGACATGAAAGACTCTGACGCATTACATCTTACCGAAACGTTATTTGAAACACTCAGTCAGTGGCCAGTAGGCAAGTTCTTTCTTTTATTCGCTTGCAAAAAGCGTTTCATTTAACTACATACTCCTTATTATCTAGTTATTTTGTTTTCTATCATCCCATAGATAAAATCTTCCCGGTGCTCGATCTTTTACGCTGTTTGGTCTTTTGGCGCCAAGCTTGTCGAGTTATCCTGTCACCAAACCACTGGTCACGAATTTCCGAAGTCAGCTTGAATCATCCGGATACTCCACCAGCGAACTTATTACTAGTACTTCGTCTGATGTCTAACGTGCTGGCCGCGGATGGTCCCGGATACTTGAAATCCTCAGGAACCTATGATTCAGATGCACTGATTACTGTGATCAACTGGGCACCGTCAATGGGACAGTTTGTTCAGAATAGCAAGTTCGATTTCACCACCCGCAAACCGCACCAGGTATATATGTATATATATATATATGTGTGTGTGTGTGTGTGTGTGTGTGTGTGTGTGTGTGCATTTGTGGCGTACGTGGCCTGAATAATTTGTCCGGCTTCTCACGCTTAGAACTCGATCAGCACACCGAACGGTCTCCCTATGTCACTAAATTATCCCCTCCAGTTTTTTCCTACAGATTTAGTCCATCCATCCTTGCTGAAAGCGTCGTTCTGCTGTAGATGCGGTTGCCTGTCTAACACATTCTACTTTATCCTTGATCAACCAAAAACACCAGACTGAACTGTTCAACTATTTTTACTTCAGTTGATAGAAATGCCCTGTTGACATTATTGCAGTAACTCAATTTCCCGCTACATCTGTNTGATTTGATGCAGGACTATTCTGCAGACCGATGCCAGTTCACATGTTTTAGGTTTTCCCTCTGTCCATGCAAATCAAGGTCTGTTTCCGAGTGCAGTTTTATTTCTTTTTCTTGTATCCCTTTACATTCAAAATCCACTGTTTATCCCCTCTGTTTTCAAATTTAAGTGTGCCAATGATGTGGGGGTTGGTGGTGTATCCGACATCAAATATTCCTTCAGTCAGCCATAAGTTCCATTGCTGACGGTGTTTATCTTTCTTTAAACCCCACCAGAAGCTTTAGTTCCTCTTAATCCCATTCTAATCTACACATTCTGGATCAACCATCCCAACCATACCGGTTACTGAATCAACCACGGAAAGGCTACAAAATTTCGAATTCCTGGGATTTTTTCTGTTTGCTGACCTAAACTGGTCCTAGCACGTGCAACAAAGTCGAAAAACAAACGTTTAGCATCTCACGCCTTCAATATCTGAGGGCACCGTTGTATGTTATTTATAAATTTATTTTCTCCTATTTTTATGTCATTGGACTGGCCATCCGCCTGGTATATTCCCAAATCTGCTGTCTACGGATTTCATATTGATGAGACACTCTTTGAGAAGCATCGCTCTTTATTGAACTGTCTCTTATATAGTACTGGCCGACTCCATTGTCAACCAACAACTTAAAGCAAGCGACCATCTGTACCATGCGATGCTGTCTGGTGCATCACATCCTCTGCACCCTACTCTTTTTCGCTCCATCTCTACTCTTGACACCCGAAATAAACTCAGACCTTCATATACTCACGCCACAGCTTTTCAGTTTTGTTTTACCTTATCCTCCGCGATTATTGGTTTCCATGGCACGACTATCCACCGAACGGTCACAGAATCTCATGCAATCATACTGCAGTTTCTAATTCCGCGTTCTCCCTTGTCATCAGCACTGCTCTTTTTACTCAAGGTTACACCACTAATAACATCGAAGCAAAAGTGAAAACCTTTTCCCTGAAAATTTCGAATAAACTGCGTTCTTGGCTTGACATAAATGTTGTGGCCACGTTTGTGCACTCTGTTTTATTCGTGTTGGACAAGTATGCGCGTACAATTTGTCTGACTTGATTATGCAACTGGCTTAAGCTCCGTAGACTGGGCGATCTGCATTCAACCTCTTTCCGAGCACGATCTGATGCCCTTCTAATTGTTTTATTCAACCTTCTCCCATAGGACCCTATTAAGAGTCCTATTCCGTAAATATTTATTTTGCTGTTTTTCAGCGTGCTGCTCTGTCCTCATAGAAGTCCGAAGACTGTCATTTTCTAGATACGGGCTTAGGAAACCCGCTGTTCTCCAAAACCTTATTCTTCTATTTTTAATTCCTTACTTAATTTGATTTACACACCACCGAAAACTAGACCCACGCATCCAACTGGTAATCAGGTTCATCGAACATATTTTGATCATGGGTACCTCATGAATGTTGTGTGTGAGAAATTACCACTGTAGACTTGTAAAGTATTCTACATCTGTTCGTCATTACACCTGCATGTGTATTTCACACTGGTATGGGGGCAGACTGCTAAACACACCACGGTACAAGCCTTCTTTCGGGGTTCACTTAGAGGAAGACAAATAAAGTCTAAATGAGGTCAAAATAAGAAGAAACGCTGTAAGTTTTATACAAATAAAGTCGTTTTAGTTGCTGGTTGCATGTTTTTTTAAGTTTGTTAGGACCAGGTTTTAAATCATGGCGAATTTTCGGACTAGACCGAATCTGTTTTGAATGCTCTTATTAGTTTCAGCTCGTTTCGTTAATGTTATCAAGCATGTTCACAAAAACCGAAATCGTTAACATTGGTGGTGAGAGGTATTGTCGCATCCGGGCGTATCCACCAATTTTTCCGGTTTTTTTATCCAACCTCAGATCGCTTTCGCAACCCTGATACACAATTTGACTGTACTGAGCCACCGATTGAGCGCCTGTCCTGTGGCATCCACCAGAATACCTCATTTGATCACCATACCCGGTTTGTGCATCCGCGTTGCTCTGTACCTCCTCAGTCTGGCACCGACTCGCGGGACTGGTGGAGTTACTCTGTTCCATCCGGATGCG